GATAATAATCCCTCCAAAACCAAAAACAATAATAAAAATTGGTCATTTTCAATCTACGACTGTTTGTGGGACATTGCCGTGCGCAATTGGCTGCCGCGTTCGCCCACAAATATACAATCAATTCACTTTACAGTGTGTTCTGTGAAGCGCTTTGGGACGTCCTCCCGACGTGAAAAGTGCTATATCAAATGCAAGGATTATTATTATTATTATTATTATTATTATTATTAAAAGCATGGAAACATTTGCTGTGAGATAGGTTTGCCGACTGGCAACATGTTAAAGGTTGAGGAAAGCTGGAATGCATTGCCTGAATGGGTGGTGAAAGCTGATTCGATAACAACTTTTAAGAGAGAAGTAGATAATTATTTGGGGAGGACAGGGGTTTGGAGTGCTATGGGGAAAGAGCGGGAGAGTGGGATTGAATTGGAAAGCTCTTTTCAAAGAGCCGTCACAGACATGATGGGCCGAATGGCCTCTTCTGTGCTGTATGATTCTATTCTATGAAAGCATTTTTGGTAGTTGAATTGTTGAATTCAATCATAACTTTGAAGCTGATTTTCCATAGTTCTTAAAATAACTTCAGAAAAGTAACTTCGAAATTAAGGCTGTTTTTAGGACTTTCCCAAATTCTGGATACTCTGAAATTCTATGCTAATCTAGACCCAGGTGTAATTTTAGCCCTCCAGTAAGGTGGGTCATGACAAAACAGTTGTTATATTATTGCAAAACCACTAAATCTAACACATGAGTGAGAACTAAAACTTTGAATTTTCAATTCAAGTCCAGTGAAAAAGTTACAGGTTTTATAATAACTTGTCAAGCCTGATTGAAGATGCAACAGGAATCATGCTACGCTGCTCAATATAAATGACACAGAGAAATTTCCATGAATTAAAAACATGAAGTGAAGGAGATCTATCTTGAACCAGCTGTTCTTGTATTAATATGGTTCCAGAATTTCTGAGAAAATTGCTATAGATGGTAACTATTACTACTTGGTAAAGACTTTTGATTGAGGTAACATTAACAGTTTGAAGCCAGGACACTGGACTCATTTAAGAATCAGATTAACCCTGTAATGGAAGGATGCTAGGGCCTCATTACATGATATGAGATAAATTACACCAATAAATATCCACAAATTAAAACATGAAGGGCCCCCCAGAAGGTGAGTGTCAGTGGAATTACTAACTTAATTCCTGTTTTTTAACCCATCCTTTATTCAGCACTACAGTGTTGTTTTTTAAAAAAACAATAAGACTGAGCAATATTTGGTGAAGAGTACAATGTACAAATTGCCCTTCATGCAATACTGGGTTTAAAAATAGTTCTCCAGGAAACAGTACTTTTATTTGCACTTCAATGACAGTAAGAGCACCTTGTGGCAGAAACCACATCTCAAGCAGGAAATCCACGTCCTTCAACATTTTGGGTCCACGATCCTTCGTCAGAACCAAACCCTTGCGTTCTGACAAAGGGTCGTGGACCCAAAGCTTTGACTCATTTACCTTTCTCCATAGATGCTGCCTGACCTGCTGAGTGTTCCCAGCTACTTCTGTTTTTGTTACAGATTTCCAGCATCTGCAGTATTTTGCATTTTGTTTAGCCCATGCACTTCAATCAGCTGGTGGGACCTCAGCCCCAGCTACTCACTGGAGATCCTGACCTGTTAACTGTTTGCTATGATTTTAGCTTCATGCTGTTAACTGTTCGCTATGATTTTAGCTTAAATATTACCAAACCATCACTGACTAAACATCTGAGCATTCTATTCCGTCAGAAATAGACCAAGTGATAGTTCCGCAAAAGTCGCCTAATCTAATCCTATTCTCCTATTTGCTCCACACATCCTTTAATGTTTCTCTTTTTTAAGTTTCTCCCTATTTCCCTATTTTAAAAAATCGGATTCGACTTTAATAGTTGGAAAGATTTACTATTAGGTTACCTATTATGAGGAATATCCAGGTTATCTAGAAACCTAGAGGAATATCTATCTTCTCCTATCAGAAAAATGTAAGATTATTTCTTGTGTTTATCTATTCTCTAGTTTTACTGCAGTATTTCAAATATAGATAGTACGTCAGTAAGTAACTCAGAGTATGATAGAATTTTACAGCACAGAAACAACACTCTGTCCTCATCATAGACGTTTGCTTACAGAATAGTCACTACACTTGAAAGTGGATCTTGTGAAGCATTTTAAGACATTCTCCCAATGTGAAAGCTGCCATATCAAATGCAAGGATTAGGCTATATTATTATCATCCTGAAGGCTTTCATTACAACAACAACTTGCACTTACATAACGCCCTCCACTCAGGGTAACGTCTCAGAGCGCTTACCAATGGCGGAGCCTGACTCCGAGCTGGGGGTGGGGAAAGTGGCAAAGAGGAAGATTTTCAGTCAGGACTTGAAAAAGGGGAGAGAGGGGGCAAGGTGGAGGGATTGAGGGACAGTGTTCCAAGTTTTGGTGCATAGTGGCTGAAAGTGCGACCTCCGATTGTGGGGTGGAGGGTGCGAGGGATGAGCAGGAAGCCAGTGCCAGTTGTGCAGAGGTGTCGGATGGTGGACTGGGGAGTGAGGTGGTTGGAGAGGTAGGGAGGTGTCAGAGAAGGAAGGAAGTGTGAGGATCTTGAAGTTGATCCATTCGTTGATGGGGAGCCAGTGGAGACTGGCCAGAACTGGTGAGATGTGGGTACAGACTTTGGTCTGGGTCAGTATGCGGGCAGCAGAGTTCTGAATAAGATGGATCTTTTGAATAGTGGAGCTGGGGAGACCGGCGAGGTAATTACCCTGCTCGATGTGTGTCACTACATTTGTCAAGATCTTTGAGACGTTCTGGTTTGTGAAAGGCGCTGTATAAATGCAAGTTGTTATTTTTGTCAGGATTTTATCTTTCCTCCTGTCTTCTTAACATCAATTTTAACGTGCGCAATGATGGCATCTCTATCAGCTCAATAATTTATTTCATAACAAATTACAATAATTTATTTCGTAAATTATAAGGTGTAGGCTGAATTGGCATCTATATTTGTGCAATGTTGACTTTATTTTGCAATGCTGTTAAGCCTTATTGTTTTGAGCAGATAGCTTTACTGAGGAATGAGCACCAGCTCAGTTACAATGGGCCAAATGTGCTTTGAACAATCTATGATTCCAGAATTGTGAACCAGTTTTGTGTCCGTTACACGTTTATCAGGGCGCATGTATTCTGCAAATGCAATGATCCCTACCATTAATAAGTCCTTGCATTTGATAAAGCACATATCACATAAGGAGGATATCTCATAGATCTTCACAACATTTAACGTAAAATGGAGTTACTGTAGGTATTTTGTAGATAAACAGGGCAGCCAATGTGCACACAGCAATGTCCCCACAAACAGCCATGAAATGAATGAGCAATTTTATCTGGAGGATTGCTGGTCCAGACACTGGGAGACACTCTCTTATCTTTTTGAGTAGAATATCATTCACCTGAACAGGTTCAGATAGAACCTTGATTTAATGGCATTTCAGAAGGACAGCACCTCCAGCAATACAGCACATATCCAGCATTGCATTGGAGTCTCAGCCTATATTACATTTGTTCAAAGTCCCAACAAGCTTCTGAGTCAGAGGTGAGAATGCTACCAACTGAGCTACGCAGACAATGTGGGGTTTGATACTCAGCTCAGAGGGTCAAAGTAGAACACTGAGATTGTGCACCTCCTGACTCAAGCTGAGGGAGCAGCCAGAGAGGTTGATAGAACAAAAGTTAAATAAGTGCTGGTGAGAACCAACTAAGATGGCTTCAATTATGTTGATGCACAGCTGTACAAAGTCATGACTCATCCAGGACTTGCAGTCAGAATATAACATCCATGGACTCTCAGGTGATGTCTGAGAGGTAAAGTTGGGTATCAATAGTATGGAAGTATGGAAGCCAATTGCGCTTACAAATGATGCTGACAAGCACAGTATATAGATGAGGAATAGGAGAAGACGACTCACCTGCAAAATATACAGTCAATTCACTTTACAGTGTAATCTGTGACGTACTTTTGAGACGTCTTGAAAACGAGATAGGGTGCTATATCAAATTATTATTAATAATCAAACTCTGGGTGCATCAAAGGTAATTGTGCAAGAACAGAATACATTGGAGATTTGTCAATGGTGTTGGGTAAGCAGGAAAGGAAACATGGAAATGCAGTCATGGTGGTTGATCATGGGAAAAAATGGTGAAGAACAATGGAATTGTGAACAGTCTGAAATGGAGCAGGGAGATCGAGGAGGGTGAGGGTTCTGTGAGAGCCAGTCACACAACGGCATTGGTGACTTTGCTCAGTAAGGTGAGAGTAAGTAAGAGTTCAGCACATGTTCAAACCACATGTGCTAGGAAGAAACAGTTAAAGAAAAAAATCTACTTCTCCGCCATCACTCTCGATTCCATGGCTGTAATGAGTTTTTAGCAGTTAAGTAAAGATTGATTGTGTCCACCCATTTCTGATTATCTTGATCCATTGAAAATTAACTTTGATCCCATTTTCTTCTTCAGGTATAAGTTAAAAAACACATGTCTCTGTTTGAAAGAGAAAGTTGTGTCTCCTGGTTCTAATTTATGATTCTTCAGTCAAATTAGTTAGTCAAATCCTGGCTGATCGCGGCACGTTGCTGTGTGCAAATAACCTGTCATGTTTGCCTACAAATACACATTTACTACATTTTGCAGAAAACCTCTGTGAAGCTATTTCTAACATTCTAGTTTTTTTTAACTGTAATATCAATGCTCATTTCTGTTTCGCAATGCACGAGTTGTAAACAAAACAACTGAAAATAGAAACTTCCCTGGACCCACCAGCAGTCTACAGTGTAAAGGACTCATAAATTAATAAAATGCAAGTAAGAAAGATGAAAGATGAAAATGCAAGATAAAATTTAACTTTTTTGTGAAAGTAAAAGATACAGATAAATATCAGGATAAGAAGCAAAAATGGTCTTTCACAAACACTTACAGGCATCAATACTGCAGATGATCCTGGCATCGTGGGATTGGGGAGGTTACCAGGCATGGAAGCTGGCATGGGCTGCCTATGTCTGTTGTGGAGATGCAGTAATGAAGACAGAGACCCTGGAACAGGCCTGAGGGAACAAGAGCATAAGGACATCAGTAGAGAGGTACACAAAACTTGATGGTGAACAAGTAACTTTGCAAAACATCTTAAAAGTGCTATGAAGCTGTGTGAGATGGTTCTACACCCTTAATTTGTATCTCCATGATATGGCTCGCTCCTCACTCGCAGCGTGTATTGGGTGGCCTCTGTGATCAATTTTCACTAATGTGTGTAAGAGCTTATCTCTAAGTGTTTCTTGCTAATTGAGTTTGTTTCATAATCGACAGGTACTACCAGATTGATCTTCAATCAATGCAAACTAGGAAGCTTTGGTCAATCAGAGGTTTATTTTTGAATACCTCTGTGACCTAGGCTGAACCTGTTTGTGTTACTTCCTTTTATATCGAAAATGAACAGAATGAAACACAGTTAAGAAAACTCAATGGCATTTTTATTATGGTTCGTTCAGAATCCAAAACTCCCCGGAAATAGTTCTCAAGTGATTTCAACAAATAACAATGAATTACACAACCATGAATTACACAAATAACTAATCAACCTTAACAGATACTAGCTAACAGCCAACTGAATATGAGGTTTATGTATGTGCAGTGAACCAACTCTTGACTCAGAGGGTTGTACCTCTAGCCAGTCAAGACACGTACCTTTCTGATGTTATGAAGTAAAAAGCAAACTCCCCAACTCCTCCCTCCATTGGGTGCAGATCATCCAGAACTCTGCAGCCCGTGTCCTCTCTCTCAGCAGGCTCCCCAACCCTATCACCCCCATCCTCGCCTGACTCCACAGGTTTCCCATCACTCAGAGGATACAGTTCAAGATCCTCATTCTCACTTTCAAAGCCCTCCGTGGCCTTGCCCCCCACCCGCTGTCTCTGTGACCTCCTAACCCCGTACAAACCTGCCCGCATCCTCCGCTCAGCAGGCTCTGGCCTGCTTCACGTCCCCTGCCTTGCCTTCTCCACCATTGGCAGGCAGGCCTTCAGGTACTCTGACCCCACCCTCTGGAAGTCCTGTCCCCAATCCCTTGTCCCCTCCCTTGCCTCCTTCAAGACTCGTCTCAAGACCCTCTTCTTCAACCGTACCTTCGGTCACCCTCCTTTCCCCCCTGCCCTCCACCCTCCCCGATGCCAACCTCCAGCTCAGGTCCAAAACACTGATTGTCCAGTGCCTTGGGACGTCCTCCGTGAAAGGCACTATACAAATGTAAGTTTGTTGTTGTTTTTGTTGTACATCTTTAAATATACTGAAATGAACAAATTTCTGGTCCCTACATTATAGAAGGGGTATTGAGGGCCTGGAGAGGGTGCAAAGGCGATTCACAAGAATGATCCCAAAACTGAGAGGTTATACCTATCAGGAAAGGCTGAACGTACTTGGACTCTTTTCTTTTGAAAACAACAACAACAACAAGATTACATTTGTATAGCGCCTTTCACGTCAGGAGGACGTCCCAAGGTGCTGGAAAAGAGGAGGGTAAGGGGTGACTTGATGGAAGTCTTTAAAATGATGAAAGGTTTTGATAGGGTAGACATAGGGAAGATGTTTCCACTTGTGGGGGAGACCAAAACCAGGGGCCATCAATATAAAATAGTCACAAATAGATCAAATAGGGAAGTTAGAAGAAATTTCTTCACACAGAGAGTAGTGGGATTGTGGAACATGCTACCACAAGAAGTTGTTGAGGCAAATAGCGTAGATGTATTTAAGGAAAAGCTTGATAGGTACATGAGGGAGAAAGGAATAGAAGGTTATGTTTGAGGGCTTAGTTGAGGAAGGGCAGGAGGAGGCTCATGTGGAGCATAAACACCGGTATAGACTAGTTGGGCCGAATGGCCTGTTTCTGTGCTCTTCATTCTAATGTAAATAACAATAATAATCCCTGCACTTGATACAGCGTGCCAGGTATCATGTGGTCGAGACATCTCAAAGCGCTCACAAATTGGAACCTATTCTCACTTTGGCAATTTTGTTTAGTGGATGCCAAGCAGGGAGAATAAATAAATAACAATTGTTGCATTTAGTACAGCAGTTTCATGTCAGGAGGATGTTCCAAAGTGCTTCACAGGATTTACTGTAAAGTGACTGTATTTTGTGGGTGAAGGCCACAGCCAATTTGCGCACATCAATGTCCTAGAAACAGCTATGAAGTGAGTGACCAATTTTATCTGGGGATTGTTGGCTAGTACATTGGGATAAACTCCCTCCTCTGTTTTCGAATAATGCGATGTGTTCTTTAACGTCCAACTTAACAGACAGATGGGATCTAGGGTTAACATTTCATTCAAAGGATAGCACTTCTGACAATGCCGCACACCTCCACCCCGGAATTGTATTAGATGATTAACCTAGACTGTGAGTTCAAAGTCCCGAAGTGAAGCTCAAACCCACAACCTTCTGAAAGTGCTTGATACCTAATGAAAGAATGGGGAGTAGTGACGTGGTCCAATTTGTGACATTCACAAACCAGAGTCATTCAGCTAATTTTGATCTCCAATTCGCAAATATAAGGATTGCAAAATGCATGGGGGTGGCAAAAAATGAAAAAAACGATGAGAAGCAAAACACCACCCATCGTTCACCTTTCCTAGTAGCCAATTCCAGCTAGTGATTACCCTCTGTGTAAAAAAATACTGCCTGGTGTCTGTCCTAAAATTGCTCTTCACAATCTGTGTCTATTTGTCCTGCTGCATGTTAAATTATATCTGAACATAGAATTTGATATTATAATCTCTAACCAGAGGTACCCAGACAGAAATAGCATTGTTCTACACAACTTGCATTTATATAGCGTCCTTCACGTCTTGAAGGCCTAAATAGTGGCAGAGCCTGACCCAAGCCGGGAAGAGAGTGACCGTAGACACAGTCAAAGAGCAAGGTCTTCAGATCCAGAGAGAGACAAGGGGACAAGCTGGAGGGACTGAGGCAGAGAGTTATAATAAACTTGCATTTAGCGCTTTATCGCGTTTTCAAGATGTCTTAAAGCGCGTCAAAGAATATACTATAAAGTGAATTGACTGTATATTTTGTGGGTGAAACATGGCAGCCAATTGCTCACAGCGGTGTTCCAAAATAGTCATGGATTGAGTGACAATTTTTTTTTCGAAGGGGATTATTACCCCCGGAAAAGCGATCCGCCAATTGACTAACAACTGGGTTCCTATTTCCTGCTAGGTAAACAGAGGCATGTGAAGTAAGAAATTTGCCTTACTTTTCGACCTGCTGGGAATCAACCCAGATCCTCTCGCTTGCGAGGCGAGTGCTCTAACTACTAAGCTACTGGACGCCACAATTTCCAGAGTTTGAGGGTATAGTGGCTGAAAGCACATCTGCCAATGGTCGAGTGGATAGGATGAAGGATGTTTAGAAGGTTAAAGCCAGCTGAGCAAAGGGGGAAGCTAGTGGAGTTGCATTGAAAAGCTGCATCAAAAATTCAACTTGAAGGAAGTGTGTCCAAGATGGCTTCTATTTAGATTTGTTTTGGTGACCTCTTCCTCTTTGCGCAATCAATGAAGCTTCACATCTGTCCAGTGCTCTATAAATAGAGAGCACGTGAAATAGACACATCAGCGAAGAACTACTCCAGTAAAATAACTCTAATCATAACTTTGTACTACTATAAAGAGGCCATTTGTAGGCATTAATGTCATCCAATTATGGTGCCTAATCTATTTATGAATACATAATATTTAGGTGTCAGCCTGACTCAGTTGGTAGCGCTCTTGTCTCTGAGTCAGAGGTTGTGTCTACAAGCCCACATTGGAACTTTGAACTCATTTGGAACTCACCAACTTCATGTCTGGTAGTTTCCTTGAGTGCTTGACAGAGATAAAGTTCTTTGGATGAGATGTTAAACTGAAGCTCTGTCTACCTGTTCAGGTGGACGTTAAAGATCTCATGACATGTGTTGAAAAGCAAAGGAAGTTTTTCCCAGTATCTTGGCCAACGATCCCCATATAAAATTTGCGCTTCATTTCGTGGATGACTGTGGGACACCGCACGCAAATTTCGTGCCATGTTTGCCTTCAAAATACAGTCACTTAAATTCACAGTAAATCCTAAGAACAATGAACCACTTTGAAATGTCCTCCAGATGACAAAAGCAATCTGCCAATTGCAAGGAGTATTATTTTAAAAAAAGGAGAGAATAAGAAAGAGTCATTCACCCATCAAGCCCGCTCTGTCCAATGGTCGTACAAAACATACATTATCAGTTATTTCACCCCAACCACCAGACCTCTTGAAAAATTACTTTTGTCTAGATACTCCCTTGACTACAAAAATAATTAAACAAAACTTCAAAAGCACCCATGCATTCTCACGTTTCCAGTATTTCAACCTGCCTTCTCCGCAGACAACAATCCATCCACCCTTCCCAACCTACCAACAAAAAAAATTAATAATAATAATTTGGTCACTCAATCCACGACTATTTGTGGGACATTGCTGTGCACAATTGGCTGCAACGATTCGCCCACAAAATATACAGTCAATTCACTTTGCAGTATTTTGTGTGAAGCGGTTTGCGACGTCTCGAAGACATGATAAGGCACTATATCAAATGCAACGATTATTATTATTATAATATACATCATTGTGTACCATATAGTACTGGTTCATCTTAGTCTGCACTTAAAATATTCTTCAATATACAGATAATATATATTTATAATAACATATAGATAATTCTTGTTGAAGGAGTTAATTGAGATACATTAATTATAAATGAATCCTTGCATTTCATATAGCTCCTTTTCACATAATCAAAATGTCTCAAAAGCGCTTCACGGGATTTTATTGCAAAGTGTAGTAACTGTGTTTGTAGTAAATTACGGCAAGCAATTAGTGCAAGCAATGCCACACAAACAGCCATGAAGTGAATGTCAATTTCCTTTTTTTTCTTGGAGATTGTTGGCCAGAGGAACCCCTCTTGAGTAGCGCCACAGGCTCTATATTATCCATCGGACAGGAACTCAGTTTAATGTCTCATCTGAACAATGGCACCTCCAAC